TCATCATTTTTGGAATGATTACCTTCTTTAGTATCTCCACTGTGAAAAAGAAGAAGAGACAAAGCTAAAGAACATAACAGTATTGTTAAGGATCTAAACAGTGGAATAAACTACTTCCTCTGGAGGTTTGAGAAAGGATGGCTCAGTGGCCATTATCCATCTATCAGAAAGTCAGCAGTATTGTCATTTAAAAATCCAGAATATGAATACAGCCCACTATATCTTTCATTAAGATCCAAACATCTGTGCTTCAGGAGGTGCTAACAACAAGATGAATGGCTGCAGTAGTGTCCAGAAGAATTACTGGCACAGTGGTGCTTAATTTAATTAGTGTTGGATTAGATGAAACGCCGAATGTCACCACCACTAATTTCAAAACAGTTTCGTGGTTGCACTTCATAAAAGCAAATGTTTCTGCATATGTCCAGAGAGATATCTCAAATAAGCCAACCCTTTGTTGTCACAGTGCTCCAGAATCACTCAACAGCCTGTTTGTGTGCTGTTATATCAATGCAAGCCTCCAAAAGTATGAGGACAGTATGGGGATCTTTAGTATGAACTAAAACAATAATAATTTCTTCTGTGGAAAAAAACATGACTGATAAGTGCAACACCTCATTCTGGATCAGTTAAAAAACTGTTATTTTCAAGGAGCAAGACTGCTGTGACACTTTACTGGCAAGTGTCTTGTGTTGATCAGGTGTTTATTATTTGGTAATTATGTTTATTAAAGAGCTGTGAGCATACTAGCAACCTTGTTTACTTTGACTTCAGTGTTTCAGGAATCTAGATGAAAGCATGTAAGTGAAAAGCCAAGAAACTTTCTCTCAAGGAAGAGCTGGTAATTTTGACTCCCAGAGGTTTCCTTTCAGTTAAATTAGGTTTTTCCTCCCACCAGTGCTGTGTAGCTCTTTTTTGGGCGTCAGGAGCCACCCTTGTAAGGGGAAGGGGGTACTGTAACGCCCTGTACACCTAGAGGGCGCTCTACTTGTGTCCTGTTCTTAGTTCCCTGTGATTATTCATGTCTTTCTGGTGTGTCTTGTTTTGTAGCCTATTTACGTCCTGGTTCTGCTCTGCTCCTGGCTCAGCATTGAGTGTACGAATGTTCTGAGACCTGCCTACCACCAGGAAAAAGAAATAAAATGCAGATATAACATCTAAACCCAAACTTCAAATCAAACCTGCATTAGCCAAGCAAAATCTCTGTTGTAGATAACAGAAAATCTTACAAGGAAAAATCTAAAACTGTCATTAACATTCTAAACAATCTCCAGAGTGAAGTTTTGATGGTATTAAAATCTTCAAAGCTTACAGAAAATTCTCATTAGTACCAAGAACAGAAAAGCCAGATTACAGTTAGCACTTTGGAAGTACAAAGATGAGCTGAGCTGGACTAGTCTGGTAAAGCTAGCAAAATGGTTAAACTTACAAATAATACAAAACCAGAAGGAGTAGTAAAAGTACTGTCAAGAACTTGCAAGACAGACAAATTACATGAAATTATGTATATCATATGGGTGATTCTGAGCTTCAGAAAACTACACATGAAAGGGAACTGTGTGTGTAGATTCACCTGTGTTCTCATGTTAAGACATGCAGGAAAGAAAATAGCTGAACAACTGGACATTATGCTCAAGCTTTTCAATATATTAGCAAGACTTCAATTAATATACGGTGTTCAGTTTTGGTCACCATACTACAAAAAAGAATATTATGGCTTTTGAAAGAAGTGGAAATGCTTGGTCTCAGGGTTTTTTCACATACAGACATGTTAAAGGAACTAAACCTCTTAAGTCTAGAACAAAGGAGATTGAGAAAAGATGTGATCCAATTATATAAAATCCTAAGGGGTATAGATAGGGTCACTAAAAAGGGCACCAGGTCACAGTGGCAACTATGAGACAATCTATTCACATTTCTTTACATGAAGGGTTGTGAATGTGTGGAACACATCCCAGTTACAGAGGTCCAGATGCTTCAAAACTAGTAAAAAAATAATTTTATATTCACTAATTACAAAGCTATATACAAGCAAATAAACAAGATGGGCTGCATGATCTCCTTTCATTTATTACATTTCTGATCATTTAATTAGGCTCTTCTTAACCCCAGAATTAAACAGGTTTTCTCCAAATGGGTGAATGATACATGGATCATTCAAATGACTTTATGTCAAATGTGAACCATTAGGGGCTAATATATTTGGTAAATGACAAAGACCGCAGGGTTACAATGCTAAATATGATATATGTATCTCAGCAGGAGAATAGACACCTACAGTATGCTCATATATGAGTAGGTCTAATATGTTTTTTGCTCATTTTGCAGAGCTATTTGCACACTAGGTACTAGTACTTTAGGTGGGTGAATCAAATATTTTTTGTGACCAAGAGCAAATCGTCTTTGTGTTTGACGCACAATGTGGATAAATCAGGCCAGAGCATTTCATAGTGGTACTGTCTGAAAGAAACAATACTGTGGGCTTAAATGTCTAGAATGCATCTCAGTTGCAAAAAGAAATACAAAGATTTAGGGGGCTTTACAGGAGCAAGAGAACCTGAAATGTGCCAAAGCTACTAATGCATTCTTGCACTTCTTGAAAAAACAGACATAATATGCTAACCTCATAGTCAGTATTTGAGTATTTGGGTTCCTCACCTCACTACCCTCCACTGTCATGAACTCCTGCTCTTTTTCTTTGTTTTCCTCTAGACGGGAGAGACAAGAATGAACAAAATATTCTCTTCTCCAGAAGGACGCAAACCAGTATTCCTGCTGATGAATTGTGTCAAAATGGGGCCCAGCCAACACCCACTGAAGGGTCAGGCCACCAGACGCAAGCACTTCCATTATATAATAAAAGCATTTTAAATCATGTCTCATCAGATTTCCAGTGGGGCAAATGGAAACTAGCAACCATTATCTCCAGTGTGTTAGCTGAACCATTTGTATGAAACATTGTCCAGTTATACAGTAGTTACTCCAAAGTTGAAATCCAATTGGTTTTTACAATATCAATATATAGGCCCTTGCATCTGGTTTATGAATGATTACAGCATCTTTTTTACACTGTAATTCTAGTTCAAACATCACCCTCTACTTGTTCTCTAGAGCATTTTTTGACTTCACTTGTATGTCTGAGTCTTTGTCATCCTGAACCTAATCACTAGATATTACCAAACTACTGAGTCTGGGTGGATGGAGAGTTTAATCCAGATGACCTCTGAATGGCCTCCCTGCATGTCTGTTCAGTAACTCTAATCTGAGTTACTTTAATCCTAATCAATTTTCTCACACCTACTATACCAGAAACTGTCACGATTGTAGTCCCTCCCCGTTAAGGGGGCTTCAGCTCTTTCACTTCTGATTTTGTGCACCTGCCCCTTGTTCCAGCCTCCTTCCAGCCCACCTTAAAAGCCAGACGCTGACGTTAATCCGGGCTCTGCATTGGTTTCCACATCATGCGAGCCCGGGACCTGGATGCACCTGGCTGCGTTATGGTTTTAAGTTTCTGTTCCTGTTCCTGTTCCCCCTGCTGGTTCCGACCCGGTTCCCGTTTTTAATCGTCAGTCTCGGTTGGACCGCCCGGCTTTGGACCTTTTGCTTCCTTTTGGATTCCCCCTTGGACTTCTTCCTGGATTGTTTGCCTCGGCCACACCTCCCCCGAACACCAGCGCACCGGGGACACGCCCCCTGTTTTCATCCCCGTATCATGCATGCTTTTTCCCCGTGTTTTCCCCACTCATTCCCGGATTGTGTCGCCTGCATAGGGTCCTTCAGAGCGCTTTGTTACAGAAACCAAATTCCATAGATGCCGTATCCCAGAAGGCATCACTCTGCCAGTGTTCTGGGCTTGCTTTCTTCTGGTCAAATAATAACAGTGGGCTAGTTTCCATACCAATCAATCTGCTGACAAGTATGCAACATGAAAAGACCTAGTCATTAATGTAAGTAAAGACGAGCTCTCCAGGGGGCTGATTTAGAGAAGAATCCAGGTTTTCCAGTCCTGCTACTTCTGTTCCCCTAGTGTCCATCGAATGCATGTTGTGTCTCTTGCATAATCAAGTTGCACTCAAATAGACGCAAGTTTAGTGTATACAGTGTGAGACAGCGGAGACCCATGGGAGATGAACACGGGAAGAGTAGCCATACGAAAGAAGCTAATCCGGATCTTAACATTCTGTGTATTGTCGAACACTATGCTTTTGATTTTGCTTTGTGTGTATTTTTCCTTTGTGTGCTTTGTGTGTATAACCACACATGACACTTAATGAAACATCCATATGTCACATCATTTATTTTGGACTTCCTCCAAAAGCTTTTCTAACTGTTCACCAGACTTTTGACCATTCACATTCTTTGAATTTGTATGAGAAGATGTGATATTTGAATCCATATTTTCTTATCACCAAGGGGCTCAACCACTAATAACTCTCACTCTGACCACAATTGTCTCTTTTTGAGCTTTAAAGTCCAGACTTTGACTTGAGCTCCATGGTAGATTTATGATGAAATAAAAAAAAAACTGTTTAATTTAAAAAATAGGCTAACAAGTTTTTGGTTTGACATTGTGAAAGTGTAAAGAGGATTTAATGTACATTGGTGAAGAAGTATAAGATCAGTATCATTTTTTTTATAAAAAGAAGAAACCTATAGAATGCATGGAAAATGTATGTGAAAAGTAAAGCAGGAAGGTTGTTGTTTTATGCTCATCTGTTTTAGCTCTGCTCTGAGGCTTTCTACTGCTGCTGTATAACAGCTGCATTACTGTATGTCTGACCTTTGAGCTTTGGGAAAAGACCATACATTTCAAAAACGTAATCACAACCTTGGCAAATACAAACCTGCATCACAGCTGAACTCTTCCAGTCTTCTGTCACGTTGAGGACACACCAACTTAGGAGAGCTTAAATAGAACACATTTCTGAAAAGGCACCTGCAGTACTAAAAAGGACCATGTGGCATACTGTAATAAACTGAATTGTGATTGATTTTCAGAGATTTTTTATTGGAATTCTTACAGCTTTTAATCTGTTTACTTTCAGATATGAAAGGGCTGTACTGTTTGAATATTTGTCATATCAATAGATAAATGAGTAACCACAACTGAAGTACAAATCATCTATTTTTGTACCCTTGATCAATCATTTTTGGGGGAATGTTAAACAGGTGGCTAGACGTTGACAATTGGCTGTTTGTTGGCTTAAGCATTCAGTTCAGGAACAATTGTGTGTAATGACAAAGAGTTGGAATTCATTATGAGGCCGGTGCTTGTTTTCCTCTGTACTTGCTAGCAGATTTCAGCCATTATTACTGAGGTGCTATTGATAGGAAGGAATGCAACAGAAAACCACATTAACCACTGCGCTGAGAGCTGAACGGTTTATAATAGAACACAAGCTAGAAAGGCTAAAAGATTAATCAGTGTTTTCTTATACAATTTTTCTGTTCTTCTTTTCTTTTTTCCCTCCTTTTTGCAGCTGTCTTGGTGTCTGTGAATAAAGGCGAAAGGTCGCTTTTAGGAAATTCATTCAAAGTGCCAGAGCCTTCAAAGCATACCAGGCTCTGCTAAGTCCTGGAGATTTAGTGGTCTAACTCAGACTTTGCCCCCGACAAAGCAGACTGACTGATGTCATAGGTCAAATTCCTCTGCAGAACTAGGCCAGTCTCCTGTATGTTTGGCGATTGCTGACTAATCAAATGGAGAAGAGGAAAGGGTTGGTGGCAAGGTTTAAAAAGGGCTATTTGTATAAGTGTATAAGTTTATCTCATTGGTATTCCTGATTATTGTGCTTCCCATTCCTTTTAAGCCTTTTTATCTTTTGTTTTCTTCTTTGATTGGGAGTAGCATTATTTAAATTGTCTGACAGCAATAGCTTGTGAAAAGCTCTTTGTAGAGTAGCAGAGAAAGTTAATGTCATACAATTTTCTGAGGTCTGTCTATTCACGATTTGTGCAATTATCTCAAGGCAATGCTGATGAACTAATGCTTTTTCTTATATCGAATCGCAATTTTCTCACATCTTGTTACTTCCTTAGTTAATTTTACTGGAACAGTAGTATGCAAAGAAGGTTCCTTCAATTATATTTCATCAAATGGATTGAGAAAAAATATCACCTTTGCAACAGGGGTTAAGAAAGTAAAACCTAATATTAGAAGCAAGTAACACAACAATACTTTCTGGAGTGGGTATTTCACTATGCAACATATTATGCTGATAGTTTCTGGTTGCATTTGAGATTGGGAATCAGATTTGCATACCTTCAGTAACTGTGTCCGCAGTCTTATCGCTGTCAATAGCCCCCAGACATGGCTTTAGTCCACTTAGGGGAGCATTTTGGAGCAATGTAGAAAACAACAGCCAAGAGAAAAAGAGAAAGTGCTAACACAAAAAAAAACATGCAGACATGGTCACAAGAGGCTAAGGCGTGCTGTCAAGAAGGAGAAGTATGTGTTAAGCAAATGTGTGTCAGCTTCAGAAACTGGCAACTTTTAACCAGGAGAACTTTGCCAAAGTTAAAACTAAGTGACAACTCTGTCTAGACTATGTTGCCAATGGAATTTGTATCTGGAATTCTTTAAGATGAGATTTTTATGACTTAAGTCCCCATATGGCTCCAAAGACTGCTGTCCATCTGGTTACCGATGTGGAGGAGAAAACAAGAACACGAGGGATTAATAATAGAGTCATAACAAAATAAAAACTGAAACATTACATCTCTGAATATAAACTAATATTTGCCCTCTGCTTTCAAACTAGGCTCCGATCCTAACCAGGAATCAGAGGTAATGTGACGATGGGTAGATAATCAGTCTACAGCAACTGTCTATGGTTGCCTTACTGTATCGTATATCTATAAAATATATGAACAAGAAGGTATAACAAGAAGGTAAAATAATGAACTGATGTCTTAAAGTAATAAACCCTACAAAAATGCACTTTAATGTTGATAATTTCCCAAATTAAAGAAATAACAAACCATGAAAAGGAAATTTACTCCTTTTTTGTGACTATAAAAATGTTTGAAAATTGCAGAATCTTGTTAGGTCTGGATCGTGTATTATGGTTGATGCAACAGTGACATTTATTGTAGCAATTCATGCTGGCCTCTCTTTGTCATTGGGAGGTCTAAGATCAACTAAAACCACAACAACCTTAGTTAAAACACATTGGAAACTTTTCATAAAAAATTAGATCTTCTGTTGAACTTAATAAATTATAGTGCTTCTGTCCAACACATCTCCTTAGTAAAAGCACACTCATTGTGGTTTGTGGTCCTGGGACATCTATCAGAATACTTGAGTCCATTTCTAGGGAGGTTTTCTGCCTCTGACAGTACAGAAAATGTTTTATATTATCTCAACAACAAGTTCAATGTACAGAAACATCATTTTCATAGTGTTTGAGGTAATTTATGAAACATTTTAATAATATAAATGGGTAAATGTAATTAAGTTAAGTCAGCTGAACATTAGTATTAGTATTCAATTAGTATTAGTATTAATAGCATGAGCTATTAATTTTTATTTTCATTTAGTGGAAGATGTTTATTAGCAAAACCTTAACAAAAATAATTTAACAATCCTATTAATTCTTTCACACTGTTTATTAACACCTCTGAGAACATAGAGTCATGATCTTTCATGGTGAGGCATGTGAAGTTCCAGGGTATTGAATTTTAGGGTGCAGATTTTCTGGAACCTAGTTACCCTTGAATGTTCAGAACCGAGATTTGAGCAGCAACTAGCAATTTGGACATTAGTGTGGTTTTTCTATCAACTGTTTCCACATCTGTCCTGTGGGTTATATCCATAAATATTTAGTTATCTTATATATAGTTATTTTATCGGGAAATCGTGGCATAATGTAAACATTTGTTTTTAAAGCATTTCAGTGCAGAGAAACCCATTGATTCAGTTCCTTTCTGCAATGCCAACACAACCTTGTTAGACAGTAAGCATGCATCCTGAAGAACGTGTATAGGCATGTCATCACTTTTAACTGTCAGTCTAGAGCACTAACACCTATGACTGATACCTGGGATGAGGGGTCATTTCTGCGTAATAAGATGAAGATCCTTTGCTAAACCCCACTTAAACTCAGAGGGATTTGTCACAAAGTGTTCTTTCAGGACCCTATGCAGACAACACAATCCGGGGAGGAGTGAGGAAAACACGGGGGGGAAACCATGCAAGGGGGCTGGAAGAAAAACAGGGGGTGTGTCCACAGTGCGCAGGTGTTCATGGGAGGTGTGGCCGGGCGTCCATACCTACATACTTAATACCTAAGTGTTAACTTGCCTGGCTGTGGAAAATGACAGCATTGGTTTAAGGGGCAGTGCGTTGGCTCTGTGGCTAAGGATCTGCGCCTGTGGCTGGAAGGTTGCTGGTTCGTATCCTGTGGCCGGCAGAGGAATCCTACTCTGTTGGGCCCCTGAACAAGGCCCTTAACCCCAACTGCTTCAGGGGTGCTGTTTAAATTGCTGACCCTGTGCTCTGACCCCCAGCTTCTCTCCCTGTCTGTATGTCTCATGGAGAGCAAGCTGGGGTATACAAAAAGACAAATTCCTAATACAAAAAATTGTATAGGGCTAATAAAGTGATCTTATGTTATCTTAAGATCAGCATTGTCACAATATTCTCGCTTATGAGGAATGAGCCATGGAGATGCTGCAAGGCTGAAGTTGGAGTGGAGGTAGGGAAGCTAAAAAAGGTGTAGAGTTTTGTGAAGCCTTTATATGTAAGAGACTGGTACCGTGCGATTAGAATGTGACTTCTTACTGAACTTTTGTTAAACACCATTAATGTATGCTCTAAGAACATTTATTGTTAATTTATTGCATTCCTGCATTATCTTGAAGAGATAAATGATATGTCATTATTTAACCCTTTAGTCATTTTTTACAGGAAGCTTCTCGGAGTTCTCATCTTACTTTTTACTGTTTTGCGACCTGTATGTAGTACTCTGTTCTTCTGCCATTCCTGAATATTATCTTTCTGATTTCTTTCACCGAAATTTCAATTTAAGTAAGAGTTATAGGCATTCAAGCTTATTGATTTTCCATGACTTTATTCTAGTGTTTATAAATCTTTTATTGTTGTTGCAAAATAAAAAATGTGCTTGCATAAAAAATACAAATGAGTAACATTTAATATCAGGGAGAGTATTCACACATTTCTCAGCAGTGTTTCTTTCTGTTTGAAAAATAACATGACACAATCTTAATCCCCTTACTGGAAGGCAGACCAGCCACAGTGTTCAGTCATACTTGTTTCTGACAGTATCGGCAGTTGGAACAGGCCTTTCGCAGGGCAAGTTTTCCTTGGCACCTGCTCTCAGTACACCCACACAACCGATGCTCCAGATGCTATTAATAACCACGAGAAAAAAATGTCCTCATTCTTTTCCTAATACTTTTGTTTTTCACAGTTGTGCCTTAATTTCCTGACTTCCTTTAATTATCAACAGCAGCACCATGATGAGGCAGTGACCCGGTACGAGCAGCTCAGACATTGTACCACAACTGATGACCTAGTCAGCATGCGAAGGCTCTTACGTATCAGCAGACCTTTTTGTTTGCATAAAAATAGAAAATGTGTATTCACAAAAACAACAACAATAATAAAACAAAGTACTTTTTATTATTTTCCGCATCAAGCCAAGTGGAAGTCAAAATAGGCAAACAAAGTCAAATCAGGCCGATTTAACATTGAAATTGTGTGAAAAGTCAAACCGTAAGATGGTTTGTGCTAAAAATGATGTATCTAGTTTTTAATTCACAACTCTAAATGACAGGGGAAATGGGACACCCACAGATGAGAGATGGGTGCCTAGCCCTGTTCCAGTTTGAAGTTTTTGGAAAGTTTTAGAAAGTAGTTTTAAAATCCATTCCGGTAACCCAAATCCCACATCTTAAGCAACAGAAAGAAAGAAAAACATGATGAACTTTAACTCCCCTCGATCTGCTATGGTAACTCTCCTTTGACAGTTCCGATGATTCAACAGATGGTTCCTGGCTTTAGAATGAGGATCAGTTTCATCCTGATACTTTTCATTTTTCATTGTTTTCTTTTTGTTCTTTTTTTCTTTTTGAGGATAATCAATTAAATAAGAAAAAAATATAAAGGAATTTTACAGTCGTATAAGGATTAATGCCAGTGGACGTTCTACATATTTATCAAATTTACAGATTTCTATAAAACTTTTAAAGTCAGGCTTTTGAGTGAATTGTAATGTATAAAATATTCCATTGTGAATCATTTCACACATTTCACCATCAATTTCAAAACATCCATCCATTTTCTAACCACTTCTTCAAAATTAGGGTCACGGGGGAGCCGAAGACTATCCTGGCAAGCGATGGATACACAGACACAAGCGTGCACACACTCACACCAGGTCCAGTTTTCACAGAGCACTCAGAGATCACCCACACAATCACTGGGAGAACATACCGGATCCATGCAATAGTACCTCTGGTCCAGAAATTT